TGACAGTTAGAACAATTAATCAGTGGAATGGCTTGCCTCCAGAAGTTGTAAATGCTCCATCACTGGAAGTTTTTAAGAAGATGTTGGACAACCATTTGTCTGAAGTGGTGTAGGGTTTCCTGCATAGGCAGGGGGTTGGACTAGAAGACCTCCAAGGGTCCTTCCAACTCTTATTCTATTCTAATATCTAAACCAGTAAATTGGGCTAAAGGACAAACATATCTTCCTAAAGATAGTTCACCGTTGCCTTTGGCATGTTTCAGGGAGAATCATTTTTTCCAATTTCAGCCAAGTCTTCTTTCTCCTGCTGTCTAACTGAAAATACAGATGGCATTCTAAGGAACAGGATAAACTTAGAGACAGAAGATGTTCTTAAAGAGGTTCAAATTGTATGCTAGTGGTTTTTTTGTTGTTGTTGTTGTTTTTGATATTTTTTCCCTCCTAGTTTCTCTTGGGCTGGTTAGATGGCTCCAGATTTTGGAAGCTTGTAAAAACCTTCATAGCACTTTTGAGCAGTCTCAAAAGTGGTACAACCCTCTCATCTCTTTTTCAGCTTTTGGTTGGGGGGGGTAGTTTGGTTGTGGGGGTAGTTCACAGGTAGTGAAACATTGCTATCCAGTGCTCCATTCTTGCCTTTCTTTCTTGGCAGACATGTTTGATAAAAGCAAATCTGGTCGGATCGACCTCTATGGGTTTTCTGCCCTGTGGCGTTTTATTCAACAGTGGAAGAATCTGTTCCAGCAATTCGATCGGGACCATTCAGGAAATATTTCTTATAATGAGCTGCACCAAGGTGAGACATTGAGGTTGGGGGTGGCAATGGTCTCCATTGATTTTGACTTCACGATTCAGAAATGAGATGGTCGGATCCTTGGAGCTCCCCGAGCTTGGTTGTTTTCTTGCAGACATTTCATTATCCAATTAGGTAACATCATTTGCACCATTCCCTCCTAATACTGAAGATGTTACCTAGTTGAGTAATGAAATACCTGCAAGCAAGCACCAAATATTCCACACATCCTCTCCAGCAGCCAACACCCAGATAAGCAGGGATTAACACCAGACAAACAGTACTCTGATAAAGAAACTGCCAAGGAGAAAAAATACATCTCACCAACCTTTATAAGGGCAAGCCACTGTATATAAACAGAGAGAAAACCCACTCCCTTCTGGCATTGATGATGTTATCTAGTTAGATAATGAAACATCTGTAAGAAAACAACCAAGCTCAGAGAGCACCAAGGTCCCCACAGTTAAACTCTGAGCTGCTTCTATAAGAAATGAGATTCCCTGTAGGTTGGATTTTTAAGAGTGGCTGTTGCTGGAATTCCAAAGGCAGGTTCCATTTTTTCCAGGATTCCTCAGCCTAAAATCTCCAAGGCTGGATCTACCATTGGATCAGCCTAGTGTTCTGTAGCAGTTTGTCAGGGTTCCAAATAGCATCCAAAAGTAAATCAGAGTCTGAGACAAATAATTCCTCAAAGTTCCAATTTATTAAGAGAGCCATGTTGGCACTTCTGGGAAAACCTGAATCTGAAAAGCTTCCCAGTTTTCCCACCCAGTTGAAAGTTCAAGATCCTGCCCCCATACCCACAAGTCCATCACATGGTCCAATCTCCCACTGCCATGCTGGCAGTTCCACCCATCCAGTTCCAGCCAGGTGCAGAGACAGGATGACCTTGGCTTTCTAGAAAGAATTTTGTTATGGCTACATATCATCCAACTCCATATAATTCCCCCTCCCATTTTCCCACAATAGAAAATGCAAAATAGAATAATAGAAAGTGTGGCAGGCCTAAGATCTAAAAGAAAAGATGGCTGCAGGCTTGACACTATTATTGGCCTGGATCCATCCCAAAAAAACTTTGCACTATAAAGATTTTAGGGTTCAATTTCTGGTATTTAAAAATCTGTTGACAATCAGCAGATTGTCTGGCAATCAAAGTAATACTGAGCTGTTGAGCCAGTCATTTAATGAAAAGACAGCTTCTTCTTCCTGTCTGATTCAGTTGGTCAGAAAAGCATGCCCCTAAGGTGGATGTAGACTTTCTTGCAGAAAGAGATGAGCTTGGAGATGGAGAAAGAACTGGACAAAGGGGACTGGCAACTGTAGGTCCACTCAAAGGAGAAGATGGAAAAGGAAGCAAAAATTGTGGGGAAAAAACTTTAGTTTCCAATAATTGCTAGGAAGTCCTTCCAGGTTGGAATATGCCTGGCTGATATAAAAATATCAATCCTGTCACCAATTATTTGAGTCATCAGCATGGTGGATTTTCACTAGGGATTAAGTGTGAGTTAAGTGAGAGTTAGTTCTCACTTTGTCAGAGGAATACTGTCTGATAGATAATCTATCCATGGCCAAGTGGAAAAACACATTATTTGTGTATTCATTTAACAAATGTATATCCCATCTACTCAAGACCAGCCAGAAATAAAACATAATAAACCATAAAAACCCAGTTCAAAAGAACCAGGCTCAAGGACTCTAAAAATTACATTATCAACATACCAAACAGAACTTGCCAGAGCTTGATCAAAATCCTAGCCTTGGGGTCTAAGGCTAAGAAGGTGGGGATTGCCAGTGTCTCAGTGGGGAGGTGCCATAACAGAGAAGCTATGCTTCCTGGAGCCTTACCAGAGACATTGCTTCATTGATGGGACCTGGAGCATCCCCACTTTTGCCAGTTTTAGTGGGATGGAGAGAAACCACTGGGCCACATTGAGGGCCACATCAGGGGTTGTGTTTGACCTTAGGGGTGTGTGCCCAGCTCGATATCACTTGTATTGGCACCTGTAGTGGCCCGAGTGTTCTGCCAGCCAAAACGGGCTCCTGAGTTCCGTTTTCATCTGCAGTGGCCTCCTGCAACCCACTGCCAGTGAAAATGGACCTCCATTTTTGCTGTCAGAGGCATTGCAGGCCAATCCTTCGCTGTTTTCAGGGTGGCCCCACGGGCCAGATCTAAGCAGCCCGCTGGCTGGATCCATCCCCCTAGGCCTTGAGTTTGACACCCCTGGCCTAGGCAGTCTGACAGTGAGGCTTTCACTCTCGCCCCACAAAGAGAGAGTGATCTGGGCCACTGCATAGTTCAGGCAGAAGAAAGAACTGCCAAAATATGAACATTGATTTCCCTGTAATTAGGGCTCATTTTAGGGATGCGGTGGCTCAGTCTTTAAGTTGCTGCGCTTGTCGAGAAGGTCGGCAGTTCAGTGGTTCGAATCCCTAGCACTGTGTAACGCAGTGAGCTCCCGTTACTTGTCCCAGCTTCTGCCAACCTAGCGGTTTGGAAGCATATAAAAATGCAAGTAGAAAAATAGGAACCACCTTTGGTGGGAAGACAGCATTCCGTGCACCTTTGGCATTTAGTCATGCTAGCCACATGACCACGGAGATGTCTTTGGACAGCGCTGGCTCTTCAGCTTTGAAACAGAGATGAGCACTGCCCCCTAGAGTCAGGAACGAGTAGCACATATGTGCAAAGGGAACCTTTACCTTTATCTTAGGGCTCATTTTGATTCATAGCAGTCACCAGAATTCTTCCTTAAAGGCTTCTTAGCTTTCCTGCAATGAATTACTGATTAGAGAAAAAAAAAGTCTTAATACTTGGGAGATTGTTCAACCCAGCCTTGCTTGGGGGAGACTTGACAGATTCCTCTATTGCATTTCCATTGCTTTCCTTCCAGCTCTTTGCCAAATGGGGTACAACCTGAGCCCCCAGTTTTCCCAGCTACTGGTGTCCCGTTATTCACAGAAGGGCTGCACTCCTGGTATCCAGCTGGACTGCTTCATCCAGATCTCCACTCTCCTGCAAACCATGACGGAAGCCTTCCGGGAGAAGGATACTGGCATGACGGGCACTGCGCGGATCAGCTACGAAGATTTCCTCATGATGTCTGCTACTCGCATGTTGTGAAACCTTTCCTTCTGAGAAACAGAGGGTGGGCGTAACCTGGAGGACCCTGCATTGGACTGTTGGCTTTCCAGCAAGACAGAGAAGGAAAGGCAATCTTGGGCACAAGATATTGGGGACAAAGGAAACCGCCATCATTTATTTCTATGAAGCTGATGCCTCAGTTCTACACATAGACTCTTTGACATTGTTCTGCAGTTGGATTTGATTGTTGTGGAATTGTCGTTGCTTCATGTAACTCCCAAGGGAAGAAATTGCTCCTTCCAGATACACTGGAATTTAATTCCCAGAATCCTTCATCCAAACCTGGCTGAAGGATTCTGTTTGAGTTGAAGTCCAAAACAATCTGGAGGCACCAGGTCAGGACAAAGCAGCACTATGGCACCTGATACCCTTTTTCTTTGGCCCCAGGTATAAAATCATATAGGGACGTGGTGACACAGTGACTAAGACGCTGAACTAGTCAATCAGAAAGTTCGGCAGTTCAAATCCCTAGCGCCACATAACGGAGTGAGCTGCCGTTACTTGTCCCAGCTTCTGCCAACCTAACAGTTTGAAAGCACATAAAAAATGCAAGTAGAAAAATAGGAACCACCTTTGGTGCGAAGGGAACAGCGTTCCGTGCACCTTCCATGCCGATCACATAACCACGGAGATGTCTTCGGACAGTGCTGGCTCTTCGGCTTTGAAACGGAGATGAGCACCACCCCCTAGAGTCGGGAACGACTAGCACATATGTGTGAGGGGAACTTTTACCTTTACCTATATAAAATCATATAAACCTTCAATTCAGGATTATCCTCCTGCTTCAGAGCAAGTAGTCCAGCGTATCAAATAATAGCTCTTTCTTGTGAATATTCCACCTGTATGTCACTATGAATTTAGATGGATCTACCTTGAGCAGACCTGAATTCCACAGCAAAAAGTGCCCCGTAAGGACAGACTGAGGCTTCTGTCCCTGATGCCTGTTTCAAGTCCAGCTCCCAGTTTGCCATTAGGAGATAATCAGCAATCCACCCACCCATCCTGCCAATTTTTTTTTTTTTTTTTTGAGTGGGAGATTCCTGGTTATCTGCATCTCCAGGTTATCACCCTTCGCTTCAAAACCTACAGGTCCTCTTGCCAATCACTAACTTAGGTGCTTGTCTTTTTTCTTGCCAATGTTTTGCTTGTAACTTTCATGGTGGCCCAAATTATGGTTAACAATGTGCCAGCCAGAGATTTATGATTTATACTTGAATGCATTGTACAATAAACAATCCCAAGCACTGTGATTCTTCTCTTCCTCCTCCTTCAGCGAAATAAATCTCTAGAGTTACATAGAAACAGAATGGCAAAGCCTAATTTAAAATACTATTAAGTTTCTTTGGGGGAAAAAAAAGCTGAGATACAGATGTGATAACTAAAACATGGTTAGATGGTAATGGAACAAGTATCTAGACCAATGTGAATAGAAACCACATATCTCTATGTCTCATAGAAACTTACCATCAATTTTGATTTTTTGGGGCTTGTAAGTAGCAAGAGAGGTGTGGTGGCTCATTGGCCGCAAAATAGAGTGAGCTCTCCTTACTTCTCCCAGCTTCTGCCAACCTAGCAGTTTGAAAGCTTCTAAAAAATGCAAGTAGAAAAATAGGCACTACCTTTGGTGGGAAGGTAACAGCATTTCGTGCGCCTTTGGCATTTAGTCATGCCGGCCACATGATCACAGAGACCTCTTCGGACAGCGCTGACTCTGGCTTTGAAATAGAGATGAGCACCGCCCTCTAGAGTCAGGAACGACTAGCACATATGTGCGAGTGGAACCTTTATTTTTGCCTTTAACATTAGGGCATACCTGAAGAAACATTATGCTGTCATCTTCCCCTCCCGTTTTAATATTTACTCCAGTCTTTTCAAGATTACAAACTAGGTGAGTTGGGTCTACCTAAAGAAGGTTGACCTTCAGATGCGAAGTCATAAAGACATTTATTGGTTCTAAGTAATACTTTAAACTGCACTGGGGAACCCTCTGGAAGAAAGTATGGCACCCCCAATACCAGCGTTATATGGTCCTGGCAGTTGTAAGACACCAGCTACTACATTTTGCATCAATGGAAGTTTGATTTGGATAAGAACACAATTCATCAAAATGCTTCTCACTAATTTTTAAAAGATTTCCAATGTAGAACTGGTTCCACACTTTACCAAAGTTTGTTTTTACTAGTATTGTTGAATAAGGTTGAGTTGACAGCCAAATATCCATGGTTTATGGTTGAATGAATTCAACATACTATGGGAAACCCAATTAGTTATAGTTTACTGCAGAGTATGAACTTATCTAAGGACCTCTAAGGATCTTTGAAGGGGCATCATTTTAAAGGGAAATGTCTTACTGATTCAGGAGAACATATATTTTACCTGTCTAATTGTTGGATCGCTCAAGTTTCACATTCCTTGTTGAGCCGGGCCCTTTGCATTCTGCTCCTGAACATGGAGGTTCCATCAAGAAGTCAGAACTGACCTATCAGAGGGATCATTAAATGGAAATTCCAACAATGCCCAGCCTTCCTTCTGCAGGTTCACTGGATTAATCTAAATCCTTTTGGATGAAGGTAAGTTTTGTTAGGTAAATTAATCTTGAAATAACTTTCCCCAGGGATGTGCATCCTGTATTCTCCAAGCAAGGACACACCATGGATATTCTTCTCTCATTGTTTGTGGGGAAACGATACTGCTTCGTGCAAACATCTTCTTTTTAAAAAAACTCTTTTAGATGGATCTGCTGACGTCTAGATGGAGAAATTCACTTCGAAGACAAAGCTTTTTCAGATTCTTATTGTTAGGGAGCAAGGAAGACTAAGGAAGAAAAAGAGTCCACCATGTAAATGATGGGATTTATTTTTAGCTTTGGAAGAAAATTAGACCACTAATTAGCCTGTTCGCTCTTCAGAAGCAGCTTTCTCATTAGACATGGGTTGTAATTCCAGCTTTTCAGTCAAGAGGTTGGTTTTCCTTGTAGTCTAAAACATTCCTTTGCAACTGAGCAAATAATTCCCATTTGTGTATTTCCAACAACTTGTGATGGTTTTAGGTACTGACTCACTAACTCTGGGCTGTTGTTTCTTTTCACCACCACCAACATCATTCAAGAGGCAGTCTGTCAAATCAGTGGGTCATCTAGATTTCCATTTTCTTTTCATCTGGATGCATATTTTGAGAATCAGACAAGAGGTCACACGGATCAGAGGAGGAACCAAGTGGTAAACTTCAAACAAAAGCATTTCCCCAGATTTGAAACCATTGTGTCATTCTCCCCCATTGAAAGGCATAATTTAACCTTTCATCTGAAAATATATGACTTCAAAGATTTTATTTTATGAACGCGATGCTTTTATCAAGTTACATCATCGGACTGGTTTGATGTTGGGGTCACATGCTGTTCTGAACCAGCCAATCAGGATAGAGGGAAGGCGTGGGATTCAAGAAAGCCAAGATGGCGGATATCGTCCCAGTCGCCATCTTGACTTTCTCCACCACTTTTCAAATACCTCTGCTGCCAGATTGTGACTTGTTGAAAAGGAGGCTTTTAAAAACATTTGTCTCTGTATTTGTATTTGAAACATTTATTCGCAACCATAGGCTTTAGCAAAATACATTTAAAATTGCAGCAATTATATCAGTTCAATACATAATATTGTCAGCACTATTTGCCAGAGTGTGTTTTTGTATCTTCCTAGCAGCCATTGCAAACAATGCAACATGTTTTATTACATGTTCATCTTCAATAGACAACAAAGAAGAAAAAAGATTTTTCCCTCTCCCTCTAGTAAACTAGATTGATTCTGTTGGATTAACAAGGGCATAATGAATCTACCTTTAAATTCCTGATAAAGTTTGCAATATAATAAATCATGGGTCAAATCTTCCACCTGTACATTATTACAAATGCAAGAACAGTATGTGGTTGTTTAATCCTTTATAACTTTCATCTAAATAGGCAGTTGGCATTGTTAAGGAAGTGAAGTTCTGTAAAGGCTTGTCTCAGGCAATGGGATTTAATCGACTCTAAATAGTAGGACCATGATGGTGAACCTATGGCAAAGCACCCATTCCTTTTCTAGGTTTCTGCCGCAAATGCGGACACGATGATCAGCTGGCCTTTGCGTGAGCAGCAGTGCCGGAAAGCAATAGAGCTGGTCTTCCATTTTCTGGTGTGAGCATGCACACTGGCTAGCTGATTGGCATGTGCATATGCACACCAGTAACCGGAAGAGTTGCTTGCCGATATGCATGCATGCACCAGAAACCAGAAGTTCATTTTCCAGTGCGTGCATGCCCCCTAGGCCAGTGGTCCCCAACCCCCGGTCCGCGGACCGGTGCTGGGCCGTGGAGTACCTGGCACCGGGCCGCGCAGCGGCCGGGGGCCATGCAACGGCCGACTCTTCACTCATGCAGTGCCATCGCTGGAGGGGGGGAGCTGCGCGGAAGCACAGGAGCAAGTGAGGCGAGGAGGAAGAATCCCCCGCTACTACACCACCTCCGCCCCCTCCCTGAGTCAGCCGTC